CCCAGCGCTCAGTTTTGAAGGCGCTCCTCAGCCAAGCGCAGTTCCTGAATCTGCAGCTGAAACCCTCCGTTTTAAATGTCCCAATAGAAGAGAATATCTGTCGCTCAGGGTTGCAATGAGGAGGAATTGGCGCTCCCTGAACTTGGTGGTTTGCTGGCAGACGTTTTATTACCCGACTAGGTAACAACATCAGATGTTACCTAGTCAGGTAATGAAACGTCTGCAAGCAAACCACCACACTCGGACTCCCCCCCCCTCCTTGAAAAAGTGTTTCTGCGTGAAACTGGTCCCTGGTACAAAAAAGGTTGGGGACCACTGGTGTAAGGTCTGTTTGGGTGGCCAATAGCTCATGTTCAAAATGACCTCCGGATAAAATGCCCATTTATATCTGCTCTTTTTGTCCTGAAATCAATTTTATAATAACATACAAGCTTTCCTGAGATTCGTCAGATACTCAGGAAAGCATACGCATTTTCATAAAATGGGTTCATTAATTAACTACACTCCTTCTGATTTTTTGCCAGCACAACTCTCCTATAATGTCTACAGCGAAAAGTACCAGCTTGGGTAAGTATACTCCATTGTCGTCGTCGTCATCGTCATCATGCCCAACCCTCAGCCAGTGGCTCAACCACCTCCACGCCCCTCTCCTGCAGATAAGCCATGCTACCAGAAATAGCATGGATGATGCGAATATCGTCCCTAAAACGCGCAACTGTCTTTACGACCTCACTCACCGCTTCCACGGGAGGACTCCAAGATTTTTCGAAGCGGCCCGGCCGCCGGCGGTGAAAAACAATGCCAGCCGCACCAGTAACACGCCGCAAGAAACCTAAATAAAACAAAACGAAAAGCGAGGCTCCCCAGGCCGCCGTCCATAGTTGCCAGCCTTCGTCCTTCATGGCTCAGGTGGCCAGTGCGGCAGGGAAAAGGAGAAAATCAGCAGAAAGTCGAAGAAACAGAGTACAAAACGCTTCCCTCCGTCTCGCAGATTTGTACTGGGTTGGAGGCGGAGCTTGATGAAAGCAGCTATTTTTTTTGCCGTTTGTTTGAGGAATCGGAATGTGACGCCTCAGCTTGGTATTTTTCCGTAACTCCATCGCGCAACGTGCCTGAATACAAATATAGCCGTCTTTGGTTAATCGCGTGTTTGCGCCAGTGCAGCACCGACACCACTCTGAAACTACAAAGGAGAAGCGATTTGTGTTAACAGAGACCCTAAGAGATTTTAAAAGATGTACACAATATACACGATATTTTTCGATTCTTTTTGCGGCCTTTTTAGTTTGATTTAAACAATGATTTGTTAGAATACCAAGTTACCCATGGATTCCTCAATTAACTCCTTATTCCTGGCTCGCCGACATACAGTAGAATAGCGAGTTGGATTGTCATAAAATTGTCATAAAATTGGCTAGGCAATTGTTTTCTGCAGGCACAATTTTGTCTGAGGGGGAAAAAAACTTAAGTGATAGGTAATATTAGCCGAATCCCGCAGAATTCCGCTCTGTTCCTGCAGCGGCATGTTGCTATTATAAACGTCCATGAATGGCAAAAGGGACCATCTTTAACTGGGCGGGATGGGACGGGACGGCCAGAGCAAAGAAGCTAGTCTAGCGTAATTAGGGACACGACAGGTGGTTCTTACTTTTAATACGGGACATTCATTCTGTCCTGTTACATTGCTCTCTTCAAACTCTTCAGGTACGTCCCCCTCTAGTTTCACTTGTTCATTGATCGATGACAGATAAATGCCAAACACTTCACTCGAATTTGGGGTGAGGCGGTAGGGGGGAGATAAATCCACAACGGCCTGGATTCAATCGACAAAGCAGGCTAAAATGTGGTTGGAGAGCCGATTATTTTTACTAAAGATTTACAGCAACTTTGGGCAGGAATCGATCCAATTCCTTGGGTAGGAAATCTGCTGGGGGGCGCGTCGTTGCTCTTGGGAAAAAAAACCCACAATTTTAATCATATTACATTGTTCTAGATAGGGTTACTTTTAAATGTAGATGGGCATACAGTCAATCGATTGAGTCCAACAAAAAAATGCAACGCAGAGTAAAAACAGCACCGCAGTCAAAAGACTACTACCAGGTCTCTTCCAACTCTTAATCTGTAAGTAAAGTATTGAAAGGCCCGTGTGAGCAGCATCACTGTTCCACAGAATGATGCTATTTCTAGAACACGCCCAGGTTCCCACAAAAGCCAATTACGACGCAACGTTCTTTTCTTACCAGCCAATCCAGAGAAGCCCGCCTTTGCTTTCTTTCCGGTAACTGTACAGTGAACATTGCCGAAGGAAGAGGGAACGGAGCTTGCTGTTTTGAGGGCTGTGTGATGTCTTGTTTTTTCCAAACTGTTTCTAACAAATACAAATCCAGACAGGGAAGCGAAAGTATAATAGAGGAACAATTACGCCAATGGGGGTTGACGGGTAAGTTTCGTTCCGAGCCATTTTTCCTAAAGATGGAATCCATAGATCAACTTATTTAGGCTCTATTGATAACCGCTAGTTTGTATTGGGGGAAGCCAGGGAATTAAATTAATTCAACGAGAGCATGTTTTTATTTAAAACTATCAAAATGCAGAAAGTATAAAAAGTAAGCAATGGTAATTAAGTACTGTATATTAAAAACTAGGTTCAGCTATGTACAAAGTACCTTGGTTCGTGGCCTGTTCAAAAAGCTGGGTGATGTGAAGATAACCTAAAATGAATAAGTACCTTGTTAATTCAGTATTAAGTGTTTCAGATACTTAAGTAGTTTTCCAAATCAAAAATTTATATATTGATTGTTCAGAGGAAAGAGGTATAAGACATCTTCTTTAAAATCTCTTGTCTTAAAAAATAATAAATATATTGTCAGACTGACATTCCTATATTTGGCATTTAAAAAGTAAGTTTCTTGAATAATTATGCTATTCCATAAAATAGATCCTTTGTCCTGCCTATTGATAGTATGTAAGTTGTAGCTTCTTATAGCAATCCAATGAATACGGGAACCATGTAACAGGTTATATGTTGTTGTTAGTTGTGAAGTCGTGTTTGATGTAGTAAAACCACTTAATTTACCAGTTTTAGACTTGCCAGAATTAACTCCAAGAATTCCCATTTTGGCTGAGAATTGTAAGCAATAGTGGTAACTTCTTAATGCTTGGTATAAATTCTTACCGTTTAGGTAATAGTCAAATGCATATATGCATCAAAATGAAATATCTTCAAAAAATAATTCTATGTTTACACATATCTTGAAATGCCAATGAAAACAAGACACCAGGTTCAAGGAAATTGCTGCACTGTATTTTGCTTCCCTTCTAGAATGTCAGTGAAAGTAGCTATGTTAAAATAAGTTCTAAGAAAATGATGATGACTGCTTTTACATAATCAAAGTTTAATGTCTAATTCATTAATTGTATTTGAAACAGCTGTTTATGTAACTTAAGAGCTCCTATGCAATAGTTTCCCTTTCTTATTTTTTAGCTATTCATCTGCGTCCCTATCAGATAAAAGGTGTAAATTGGCTAATAAGCTGCTATGAAACTGGGCATGGCTGTATTCTGGGTGATGAAATGGGACTGGGGAAGACTTGCCAGGTATTATTTTGTCTTTCTGTATATGATTTCTAATGTCAGAAGAAAAATGAATGCTATTATATGTGATAAATAAATCCAAAATATGTTTAAAATCTATTTCAGACTATTTGTCTGCTTGTTTTTTTGAGTGGGAAGCTTCAGAGGAGACCTTTTATGATCATTTGCCCTCTCTCTGTGTTAAACAACTGGAGAGATGAATTAAAAAGGTAAACATTTCAAGAGTTTTTACATTTCTTGAAGCACATTCTAGCAAATTTCAAATGTAATTTGTGAGCTGCCCAGAGTCAGTTTGGAATTGGACAGTACTGAAATACAGAATTGGCAGCATTATTGCAAACTATATGTTATGCCTGTTGATAATGAAAAATCTAGTAGCATATTTCCAGCTAATACGTTTTATTAAAATCTTTTATGAAGTGTAATTCGTTTATCAGATGTATAGATGAAGTGTGTGAATCTATGATGAAATGAATATATGCTGAAGTGAGCTAAGCTTTTTAACATTTGTTAGTTAGAAAAGGTGCTGCTCATATTTCCTCTGATTTATTTTGCTTATCAAAAGAAATCTAGTAAAATTTGGATTGAGAAAAATGATGCAGAATGAAGTGCAACCCATTTCTTTTAAATGCAGTTGTCTATAAATTTAGCCAGCATTCCATTACCTATGTCTGTCTGTATAAGATAATTATTTTCAGAAATTTACTAAGTTAGGAAAACAGGTACTTTGCACACAAAATGTCAAGTTTTGTCTCTGGCATCACAGAATAGATAGTGTTGGAATAAGTGAACCAATGCAATTTGTATATTTATAATTCTGGTTAGAAGAGAGACATTGACCGATAGATCTTTTAAACATCCAAAAAAGGTTTTCTCCGAGCCTTTCCACTGTGATATATTCAGGTGGCAAAGAAGAAAGAGCTGAACTACAACAGGATTTGAAATCAAATCATGGTTTCCACATTTTGCTGACTACTTATGAGGTATATCATTTGTTTTAATTAATACTTTGTATATATGTGTTTAATTAATATTTTGACAAGGCATTTGGCTATTCTTATTTGACCAGTTTCCATGTCCACCATAATATTCATGATCTGTGATTGTGCTAAAAATATTAATGATAGCAATTTTGCTTCCATAAATAACAATTATATCTGCAATAGTGTCTCTGAAAATTAAACTTGTCCTCAGTTGAAATTATTCTGTAGAGTCTTTTTCCTGCACTCACTCATCAAGGTCTCATAAATAGCTTTATATAACAATTTTTATTTTATATTTATCTAATTAAGGCCAGATGTACAAGTAGATTGATGGGAAGGAAAGGCTCTGTGTATCCTTTTTCCAGTATAACAAAAATAAATGGATGTGGGAAAAATCCAGATATTCAAAAAGGTAGATTATGAGCTTATTGAAACCAGATTATAGAATATCTACAGGTTATTAATTTAGGCTTGCTCACCTTAAATCTTTTCTAAAAAAATTATTCAAGAATCTTTCAGTTGATTATGCTTTAAACTAAACTTTAAAATAACTATCTGGTTTCTAACCTAGCCACCAGTGGTTTAGATTCACGTGTTATACTGGGCAGGATTTTGTAATACTGATGAAACATAAACGAAGACCAAAATGGCTGGATTCACACAGGTGTGTGACCCAGACAATAATGATTGGAATTGTTTAATTAACCAGCAATTTATTTTTACTTTACTAAAATATTAATAAGCCATAATTTCTGGTTGAAATGAAATATGAAGCTAGAATTCTGATGCTTTGAAAGTGACACCAAATATAACAAATTCCTGACTATAGGAGGAGGTGAATGGAAAAGGATTGCATACAACCTCAAGGTTTAATTAGGAACATTGTCCTTCATACCACTTGACCATAGAATTACAGGGCTAGAAGGGACCTTGGAAGTCTTCTAAGCTAACCCCCTGCCCAAGGCAGAAGAAACTTTATTGCATCTCAAATGGTTGTCCAATCTCTTCTTCAGGACCTCCACCAATGGAGCACCCACGACTCTTCCATTGATTAATTGTTCTCACTGTTAGGAAATTATTCCTTATTTCCAGATTGGATCTCTCTTTAACAAGATTCCACTCATTACTTTTTGTCCTGTCTTCATGTATTTGGAGAATAAGTCAACCCCCTCTTCTCTGTGATAGCCTCTCAAGTACCCAAAGACAGCTATCATGTCACTCCAGTCGTTCTCTTCATTAGACTGGAGTAGACATACCTAATTCCCTTAACTGTTCCTCATACAATTAACCTCCAGACCCCTTTTGTTGCTGCTCTTTACACACTTTCTAGGGCTTCAGCTTTTGGGGGGGGGGGGGGTTATCATGGTGAATAATATGTGACACAGCATTTTAGGCATGGCCTCATTAGTGCAATATACA